GAACCTCGGTTAACTATCTTGCAAATTTTAAAATTTCAAGCATAATTCTTAATTCTGCAGTTTGTTCCTTTCAGAAAGTTATGTCTGTCAAATTTTCAGAGAATTATTATTTTTTCCCCTTTACACTTCCTTAAGATAAGTAATCCAAAGAATCAAAACTGACATAATAGTTACAGGCACAATCTTCGATCTAGAAAATTTAGAAATTAATTATTACGTTCATAAATTCTAACATGGACATATCCAAGATTTCGCTAAAGAGTAATACAAAATAGTAAGAATTCATATCTTAATTAAAAAATTATTTAATAAAGACAGTCAGCAAAAGTAAAGTAAAATGATTTTCTATGAAAGTTTAAAAATATATATTTGCTTTTATTCGATAAGAATATGGATCACTGCAAGTTGAATAGTAGTTATTTTAATGATAATGAGTTATTAACCACCATTTGACTTTCAGAATAAAGCAATAGTGACATTAAAAGTTATTATAAAAAATTAATTTTTAATGTTTTTTCATATAGATAAATAAATTATGAAATATGCCTTTTTAATACTAAGTTTATTATAAAAGATCTTTTACACTAATTTTTGTTTAAAATAAATGTAATAACCAAAATTACTAGTTCTTTTAATTTATCACCAAATTGAAGAAAATTATATACTATTTAAAAAAAATCTAAGAAAAAGTTGGTTCTTGTAAAATGCTCTTTTTATTCATAGTTTTCATATTTATATATAAATAAAAATTAATGTGCAGTGTTTTGTTTGCAGTTCAAAAGCTTAACATTTTTGTGTTATGAAATGTTGGAAAGTTTATCCTAATTGCAGAAAATAAAATAAGATTTAAATAAATAATTATTGATCACCCAGGTGAAAATTTTATCAAGCATTAAGAAAAATAAGCTCAGATATCTGAAGTCTTAAAGCATGATATATAATAATGTTAACATTTATAATTTGTCTAATAATCCCCTATTTACTTTACATCGGAATAACATAAAATTAGTGCCTGCTGATAAATAAGCACACTGTGGGTTCACTTGTTTCGAATGGAGGAGAGAAGTTTCTTTGCACTCATCGTGGTGACATCACGAGAGAGCTGGACAGCCTTGTTTCTCGAAGGCCACGGTTTGAGTCCTTCTTTCTTGGGTTTTGTGTTGTCACTACTGTTCTAGAAAAGCATTTCCTGATCATGCATTGCTATGTATTTTTGATTGTCTAGGTGTACTCTATCTCTCGTGAAAGTTTGTAACTACTGTGCTGAAACACCTTGTATATATATATACACAGGGTGTTTATATATATATATATATATATATATATATATACATATTAATAGATAAATATTTTATTTTGATTTGTAATAGCTTCTAAAATCTTTTTAATCTGATTATTTTACCTCTCTATCCTGAAACTATTAAAAAGCTTATGATAAATCTTTCTCAAGTATGTCATTTTAGAATGGCTACTTCCTGTACAATGTATATCTACTTTTACAAAGCACAGCTAATGCATTTGCTTACAAAATGACCAAAGTAAAATTGAAATAGTTATCAAATCAAAATTTTTATAGCAAATAATAATATAGCAATAGTCAGCCCCTTTATTGAGAAATAAAGCTACTTTGATATTTTTTTAATTTATCACAGCAACATAATTTCCCCCTTTTTAACACTTCCCTTCATCTTGTAAATATATAGCCTGAAATGTCCCCCTTTTTCTTAATTCCCAATTTTAAAGTTCTAAATATGTGAAACACATGTTTGAAGTTATTGAGTGGTTTATAAACTTATCTTGACTCTTCAGTGCTTGATTTATTTATTATTCTGTGAATTAAATTAATCTGAACTTAGTTTAACAAAGATGATAGTTTATGAATTAAGTTTAAATAGAGATGATATGTGAAAATCCACAGCTGCCTATTACAGTGCAAGTATCGCGATGAGTGAATCTATCTTGACAGTTGCATTACTTCATTATATTTATTATTCTGCAATTTAAGCTTAAATAGGAATGACTTGCAAAAATCTACTGAAGGGGGAAAAATATTGTGAGCTTCAGGATCATTATTTATGTCACAACCTAATTTTTCTTTTTATATTTACATATATATTTAGCTGTACATTTAAAAAGATTATGATTTACAAAACATTAGGGTGAAAATTGTCTTATATTTAGGTGAATATGGTATTTCATTAAGCTATCAGACATTTTTTTTCAAAATCAAGCATGAATTATGTTACCTGCATTTAATAGATTACTAATTCCACATAAGTCGTGTACAAAGAATTTTTCTTTGTACACAACTTTTAAATTTTGAGAGTTTATTTCTTTGTCATCTACCTTTTTTAAAAATTTAGTGACAAATACTAATTCCTACATTAGCACCTTAAACATTATTTAAAAAAAAAGTACTAAAATAAAATGTCATCTATATAAAAATTTCCTAATTTTTTATTTAAAAAATTAACAATTCTGTTGAAAAATTTATTTAAGTTAAATAAAATTTATAAAATATAGGAAGAAACAATTATTCGTATAATTATTTCTAATATGAAAGAATAAAATGTCTTTTTAGAGAATTTATGCGGAATTCCAATGAAGGCATTCAGATCAATGCTGTTAACAGAAGAGTTGATGTTGATTGGAGTTTTCAACAGAGCTGTGGAGTAGAAATCGGAGTCGGATAGATTTTTGGGTAAAAGGAGTCGGGGTTGGAGTCGCTAAAAAAACACGTCGACTATGACTCCAGTTTTTGTTGAACAGTTTCAATTTGAAATGAAATTAAAGTGAATTGCAAAAAAAATAAATAAATAAATGACGAGCTGAGTTAATATTTTTTATTTATGGACTATATACATTAATAAATAGTTATTAACAGAAAGACTGTGGAATGATCTTGCAGAACTGGAAACCCTTCTTTCAACGTCGTATATAGCCACAAAAAAGCTACAATCTGAAGAATTAACAGATGAGAATGTTAGAAGATGTAGATAACCCTAATATTTCACTAACAGAAAGACTGTGGAATGATCTTGCAGAATTGGAAACTCTTCATTCTATACCATATATAGCCATCAAAAAGCTACAATCTGAAGAATTAACAAGAGGCAAGACTGGAAGAATGTGATGTTTGTTCTTTCTGAAATGGAGGGTTTATTTCAGAAGGAATCATTTCTTTAATGAAGAAAAGAGAAATTAGTTTGCTAGACAATAAGATCGTGCTGGGTTCAATATACGTAGATCCAAAACCCCAAATTTTGTTGGATGACAAACAAATTAAAAAGACAAAGAAAGCAATCTATGAACTTGTATTAAGAATAGATTGGGTTGGATTATTTAATTATGACAAAGCACACAAGGGCTATCTGTGTACAAACAAGATTTATACGCGGCCTTTAAAGAAATGGATAAATATGATTGCTCTTGCCAGACACCTCTTTTAGAACTTATAAAAAATCTATCCTGAAAAGTTAAAGGAAGTAGCCCTAATAGTAACAGCTCTTCTTCCTACACAAGTCAATGTGGAAAGACACTTCTCAGTTCTGAGGTTTATCAAATTGGATCTATGGTCCTCTAACAAAGAAGATCTTGCTGAAGTTTTACTGTTTCTTAGAAATTACAAATGCCAGTTTTTCCATTTCATAATAAATGCTAATTAATATAGAAAATTTGCTATGCATCAATTTTTTTTTTCTGTAGCATCTATTACTTCTTTTATATTAAAAAAGTAAGCTGTACCCATGTGTATATGTTTACATATATATATGAAGGAGGCAGATTCATTAAAATTCCAGGAGTTGGAGTCCGTCATTTTCCTTATTGACTCCACAGCCCTGGTTTTCAAAACCACTTAAGAGAGACATCCCTTATTCCAAGTGTCCTACAGCTATCCTTTTGTTGCCTGCCATCAATGGCAATAAACTGAAATCTACTTTCACTCGTATATTAGCTGCTGTGAAACTTGGGATACTGCAGAATAGCTTCTTTGGTTCCTTGGAATCAGATCAAATATTTTATCATGAAATCCAGTTTGTGATGTTTTGGAAATTTTTAAACTGTTTGTACTATCACATATCTTTTGAGCTAATTTAAAAAATTTGCTAACAATATATATTACTAACTGTGCTTTGCTTTGTAACTTTTCTAAAATTCACAAAAATTAGTATTCCTTTTTTTGTCTAGAAATTAATTAATTATCTAAGACAAATAATTGTCCACAAGATTTTCCGCAATACACTTCCGGTATACACAAGTATTCAAAAATAATTTGAATGGAAATGTATTCAGCATTGTTTTAGATTTTAATTTTTGATGTATTGAAATTAAATTAAGTTAAATTTATTTAAATATTTACAATAAAAATACTTTTACGTACTTAAAACTGTAGCTAATTTCCACAGGAAAAACATTAATTATTTTCAATTGAATTTGGATTATATGCTTATCTTCATGTAAAATTAAGTTATGTTTTATGAAATGTGGTAAATTTTTGGTTATCATAAAATAAGAAAGATCTCTGTCTCATTTACTGTCAGATTTATATGATTGATATAAATATTTGGAACAGATTTTTTTTGAATGAGTTTTTGTTTTCATTTTTAATTATTGGCTTCAGAAATGTCTAAAATTCTAAAATAAATTTTAATATTATGCAAAGTGTGTCAAATTCTTTCAAGAATAAATTCAGAAAAGCAGTTGATGATGTGAAATTGTGATTTGCTGTTAGATGAAGAGCTGTGGTTTTATTTGACGTTTCTAGTTTTTGCATTATTATGATTCCATTTTTTAATGCTTTCTGTCTTGTAGGCTAGCCAGCCAAGAAGAATATAAATTTATCATGTACTTTCTGTATATGTTATATTGCATATAATATGTTTCGTTAAAAATAGAGTAAAAATTAAAAAGCTGAATTAAATAATTTTTCGTGTCTGAATTTGTTAAAACATTATGCCATTTGTAATATCATCAGTTGTGTTTCCAAATTTTTACTGTAGGAAAGAGAAGTTAACATTTCCAAACTTGCAGCCTGTTACTCATTTTCTCAACCTGCTATTGATGTTCATTTGATTGGAATGCAAAAGTAAGTATTAAATTATTTTAAGCTTAATTAATTATATTAACTGCAAGAAGTAATTGAACTGCAAGTTTCTTGAGTTACACCTGCAAAACAAATTTAATAGTAGTATCAGCTTTTAAAATAGCACATTTAACTCTTATCATTTAATTTGCAACACCTGCAATAAAACTGCTCAGTACTTAAACCCACTGCAGTTGAGCATACTTTTAATTTGTTTGCTATTTATATGTAAGTTATAGTGCTATAATATGTCATTCATTAACATAAAATTACATATTATCTTCAACACACTAAAAGCCAAGTTTAAATATTAATAAGTCAAGAGTTATAATTGGCAAATTTGTTTCATCAGATGAATCTGAATGAATTCATTCATTATTATTCTCTCGATATCTATTTTGTGATTAAAAAAAGCAAGTCTTGAATGGCGGAAGCATACTTAGCTGAACAGCACAATATCCAATCTTTTTTTTTTTATGTATTTTAGGCAGGTTCAGGTCCTTAAAAGTCCTTAATTTTTTCAAAAATGATTTTTGGTCCTTAAAAGTCCTTAATTTTGGCCAAAATGAATAAACGGTCCTTAATTTTGCTCATTTGACATTATCATTTCTAATGATTGCCATTCTAAGTGTGAATTACGATTTCTCATGAATATGGAATTAAAATTACACGGCTCTTAACCAATCTGTTGGCGGATTTGCGTTGCAAACGATAAAAAAAAAAAAACAATTAGCTACCCGAACGAAAGTATCGGTGTCTGATTGGCTATTCACCCAATCTTTCGAAACAGGTGTTATCCATAAATTTAGGCAGATTGTGACGAAAGCGTGAAGCCGGAAGTTCTTTAAGAGGCGAAAGTGATGATGAAGGTGCTCGAGAAAAAAAAAGGGGAGGATTCTGAAAATATTTGCCTAAAATCACAGCAATCCAACCTGGAAGGCCACAACCCTTCCGACGCCAATAGGAACGAGATGCCTGGAAAGTGCATTTTCAATAAACTGTGGCTTCATCAAGCTGACTACAAAGACTGGATATTGATGGATGGCAATCCTTATTAAATGTGGTCTTTGTCTGAAACAAATTGAAATTTCTAGAATGGGAGAGTCAGCGCTGAAAATTCACATGAAAATTAAGTTTCGTTTTTATCATTTCAATTTGTTTTTACACGGTTTTGCTTAGCTTAATTTCTGTGTTTGTTTCAATTAAGCCATAAATTAATTTTTTATCACCTTCTACGGAGTTTATTCTCTTTTGCACATACTATATGTATGGGATATCGGGATTATGAGTTTATTTCTGCAGAGGGTCTGTTATCGATTTCGCGGGAAATCTGTTGGCTCCATTTCGATTTTAGGTCGCCAAGGGCAAATTCGGTAACGCTAGCCGAGAAAAAGTGAAGTTCGGAAATACGTTTTGAAGCTTCAATAGACAATTAAGTATTTGGTTTAAACCTATGTTGTTGATAGTAATGCATAATTTTTGCTAATGGCGATACAATTATTAGTTGAAAATAACTAATTAAAAATTAACTAATTAAAAATTTTTTAATATTTTTAAAGCTGAAAACAACTAATTGAAACTAATTTTCCTGAATTAACTAGACGCAAAATTAACTTTCATGAATTACTAAAGTTATTGGGTAGAAGTTTAACTGAAAATATACATTCCGTATTATATATATATATATATATATAGACAAAAATAGAAAGGACTTATTAATTTATTTTCCAAAAACATTTTTAAAACAAAAATATCACGTTTCAGTACATGAATGCGAACGTCTATTAAAAACACCTTGGATGCCCTTTAATGAAATTCAAAACCACAAGAGCACACTAAATTTACACATCAATAATATATTGTAGATATAATCACAAATCAATATGGACGAATCAATACTAAAAACTACATTGCAAATTAATAATGACACAAACATATATATATATATATATATATATATATAAATTTTAAACTTCAAAAGGATAGATCAATTGGACGGGTCTTCGATAAAGTCCTTGAGAAGTACGAATCAAACATGAACGCACATACCCATCCCTACCTCTATAAACTTCTATAATTCCAATAGGCCATAAAAATTTTGATTTCGTCGACCCCTCCAGCAATACAACCTCACCCTTTTTAAGATTCCTTTCAGGAGATGGATTTAGAAATGTATGCGCAGACCGTAATTCGAGGAGATAATTCTCCTTCCACTTTTTCCAAATTTGTTTCAAAAGATTAGTTTGATACAGTTTTCTCCTAATCAAAGTCTGCCTGTTCATTGGTTCATTTCTGAAAAGGTCGGCGAAATGTACAGGATAAGAAATATTTTCTTGCCCTGGAAACAAGAAATGGGCAGGTGTAAGAGCTTCTGGCTCTTTTATTTTATTGTGGTCATAAGTAAGAGGTCTATGATTTAAAACTAATTCAATTTCTGATAGAATAGTCATCATTTCCTCAAAGTTAATAAGAGCCCTTCCGAGAATCTTTCTCAAAGGATCTTTGATACTTTTCATAAGCCTTTCATAGAATCCACCCAACCAAGGCATGTGAGGCGCAATATATTGCCTAGTTATGCCGTTTATTGATATGAAATCTTTCAATTTTGAATCTATTATAATTTTTTAAAATTCTTTAAGAATTTCATTAGTGGCTCTAAAGCTCTTAGCATTGTCGGAAATGATAACTTTACAATTTCCTCTCCTAGCTAAAAATCTCCTTAATGACAAAAATTTTTTGTTGACATATTTGTGATTAATTCTATGTGCACAGCTCTAGTAACACTGCATGTAAATAATGTTATGTAAGCCTTTTGAGGCATATCCTTTCCTGATTTTATTAAAACTGGGCCAGTGAAATCTATACCAGTTACAGTAAAAGGAGGGTTTTCAGTAATTCTACATTTAGGTAGTTGACTAGTTATTTGTTTAGCTGGTTTCAACTTATACTTTCGACAAATTAGGCAGTTACCTAATACTCTTTTTATAATTTGTCTACCTCGTGGAATCCAAAATCTAGACCTAATTTTGGCTAGCGTAAATGTAACTCCACCATGAAAAATTTTATTATGTTCTCGAATAATAATTAACTCTGTAAATTTAGACTGCTTAGGAAGAAGTAGCAAGGATGAGCTTCATCCTTTGTGAATGCTCCTTGTTCTAACCTTCCTTTTATGCGCAATACACAACTGTCGAGAAAAAATTCGAAAGTGGAGAGTTTTTAGGAATCGATTTATCATTTTTAAGGTTCTACGATTCTAAGTTGAACTCTATGTTTTGCTCATGTTTTATCCAGTCTATTTCAGCATTTTGAAGTTCTTCTGCTGTGAGGGGACCTGCAATCGTTTGTCGTTTTTGAAGTTTATTAACAAACCTTTTAACTAGTGCAGTTACTCTTAGTACTTTTAACAAACAACTATATTTCCTTAAATCTAAAATAAATTTTGAATTTTTTACCAAACAGTTATTTTGCACTGTACTTTCAAATTCTTTTTTTAGCTTTAAGTCTACGTCTGTAGATTTCAAGTTCTCTCTTTCAGTAGGCCAGTATTCAGGTGATTGGCTTAGCCACGGTGGACCGTGCCACCAAGCTGGTTTGTAGCTAAATTTGCTGCAGAAATTCCTCTGGACAAGATATCTGCAGGGTTATCCTTGACCAGGGCAATGAGCCCAATTATTGGTATCTGATAAAGATTGAATTTCTTCTATTCTATTTTTTACGAAAGTTTTTGTATTTACTAGCTTGTCCCTTAATCCAACATAATGTAATCATCGAGTCGGTCCAAAAATAACTAGAAGTATTAAATTTAAGACATTTACTTACTTTATGGACTAATCTTGCGGGACAATAAAGCTCCCATTAATTCCAGTCTTGGTAATGTAAGACCTTTCAGAGGAGCTACACGACTTTTAGAACAAATAAAACTGATACTTATCCTCCCATCTTCAGATATAGCTCTTAAATACAACACAGTTCCATAGGCTAAAATAGATGAATCTGAAAAAGAATGAATTTCAAATGAAATAAATTTACAGTTAAAATTTGAAAAATAACATCTAGGAATCGGGAGATCTTCTAAGTGTTCGACTTTACTGCACCACAACTGCCACTTGTGATCCAGTGACGATGGAAGTTTATCATCCCAGTCTATGTCATGACTCCACAGTTCTTGTAGAATGCACTTCAGCTTTATGATGAAAGGTCCAAGAAATCTGATAGGATCATAAATACGACTCACTACTCGAAGAATAAACCTTTTCGAAGCAGTTCCGTTCTTGAACAAACTTTGATAAATTCTTTTACGTTGAAAGATATACTGTCCGCATCTGGATCCCAAACTAGACCCAACACCTTGGATGGATTGAGTCAAGTCCCGTACTTGAGCTCTTTTCCTCATCGATGTCGAACTCAGCATCTTTCCAGAGCTTACGCAGTTCTTCCATGGAATTGGTTTTTTCCATTTTCGTAATATCATGCCACCATCTTTTGAGAATTTCTACACTTTCAGTCGTAATTTTCAAAGCCGCTTGCAAGTCTTCTTCGCCTCCAATCAAATCGTCGACATAAAACCATTCTGACAGTAATTTGCAAGTATCAGGAAATTCTTGTTTACATTTATCAAAATGATATTTGAGAGTTGCAGCTAATAAATATGGACTTGGTTTTAGTCCAAATAAAACACTACTAAAGTTCATTTCTTGATATGAATTAGAACTGATATTATCAGTCCAGAAGAATCTAGTAAATTTTCTATCACTAGGATCAATCGAAATTTGTAGATATGCTTGCTTTATATCCGTTGTGAAGGCGATTGTATGTTGTCGAAACTTTAAAATCATTTCAAATAGATTTGGATACAAGTTTAGTCCTTTAAATAAACAGTCATTAATTGAAAGTTGTCCTCCTTCATGAGAAGAACCATCAAACACGATTCGAAGTCGACTAGTAGATTTGTTCCTCGCGAATGACCAGCGTGGTGGGGGTAAGTAGAATGACTGCTCAGA